TGGTTGAGTCACCATCCCTGGAAGTATTTAAAAGACGGGTAGATGAGGCGCTTAGGGACATGGTTTAGTGGGCATGGTGTTGTTGGGTTGATGGTTGGACTTGATGATCTTGGAGGTCTCTTCCAACCTTAGTGATTCTATGATTCTATGATTCTAACTTGCAACTCTAACTCCCTTCTGAAAATTTAGTGTAAACCTTCCAAGTTCAACATGAAATCTGTACCTCATTGAATCTCTCAGTGCCACCACAGAAGAATTAATTACCACAGGCTCAGAGATGAACTTTGTGTTTAGTTTAACAGAACTTTTGGCCAATACACTCATTTGGCCAAAATAGTAACATAAGATGCTGTACATAAGCAACTACTGTTAAAATTCCTCTAGCTGCAGTTTGCTTGAGAACCTAGCATATTATCTGAAGCAGGTATCACTAGCACAGTGTTTATCTTGCCTGAGGGGATAATCAATCCGAGCTGAATTAGAACAGTTTAAGATATTATTGCTTCTCAGCCACCAGTAAAACATCAGGTCAGGTGTTCAGAGGATGCACAAGCTGCTAGATCATCTCAATGCAGAGTGAGCCAGCAAGCCTTGCAGTACCATGTAGTTAATACTGGCTACGTTTGCCAATTTATTTTTCCATTAAGATGGATCAGAAGCATTCATATGACCACATATGCTTCTCAAATAAGGTGATTTTGAGTTACAACCATTAACACCACAAGACAACTACGTAGCGTCAGCTCACAGATTTTTGTGAAACCACATGCACTGCTGCCCTCTATGCGAAGGGCCTGAGCAGCAATGGTACACAGCTTTATTTTATGGATCAGGATCTACTAAAGGACGAGCCTTTCCAGGGACTGCAGCACTACTGACAACTAGAAGTTGAATAATGGAAAAAGTCAGGAACAGAAACTAGAAATCCGAAGTCTAGAAAGGGAATGCTGGCTGCAGGAAGGGACTTTCAGTCCCTTCGCCAGTACCTATTGTTAAGTCATGTTTGGCATTTATTTCATTCTTTCTTCTTGCGACAGTCAGATTTTTTTAAATGGCAATAACAGAGTACACCATTTTAGAACAAACCATGACTAGACTTATGTTGAGATTTTGCACAGTGTAGATTTAAACTGAATCTTTTTTTTTTAATAAGTGTTGAAGCACTAACAGCTAACAGCTTATAGGAGAGGTCTTGCTCCCCCCCCCTTCTCCACTGATTAGCCTTCTACCCCCCATTTCTGGGTTTCATGTGTCAACACAAGCAAGCCCCAGCACCCTTCTGCCCACAGGATAACCAATTTGTACCATGAAAGCAATGGAAAACCACACCAGGAGGGAAGCACCTTTTCTCGTGTCAGCAGTTTTAATCTGCTTTCCTTGCAGCAAGATAAGCACCAGAGCTAATGCCAGAGGATAGGAGAGCAAGAGGAGAAACTGCAAAGCTAGAAGCAAGGGAAGAGATTCCCCCCATCACATGACTTTAAGCTGCCAGGTTGTCTCAGTTGTACTGCGAAATTATGTCATTAAATACACGTTCCCTTCCAGCTCTGTCAGAACTGTCTGAGCACAACCTCAGAAAAGTTTTGTGTTCTGCTAAATGACACTCAAACAGCTGAACTTTCTTTGTTCAACGTATCTGAGCTATAAAACCAGGTGATGTATGTTTTCAAAATTGTTTTAATGGAAGGCAACTTTTCTTGCCTTTGTCCTGTATAAAATTCAAGCCCTGCATGCACAACACACCAATATGTTGATGAGTATGGAAGTTGTACAGTACTATTAGAGTATTTAGTAAGCAAAGGAAGAAACATTGAGATTTTTCCAGCTTTACAAGATGAAGTTCAAATTTCCTTCACTTTAACCAAATTTGCCCAAGATACAATACAAATCCTTCCTGCTGCCAAGATTCTCCTCCTGCCAAGTTTAAGAAGTTGCTATATATTTTAACGCTTTCCAAAACCAAAAACTTTAAAAAAAAAATCTATTTTCCTTATCCTCCAAGGTGTATCTGCTGCCTAAAAAGGAGGCACCACAGCTAGATACCAAGCACAGAAAACTCCCCAGCACACCATGATGGCAAGCTACCAGACTTATATCCGGCATTAAGCAAAACTGACAGGAGTTTGGCAAGTGGCTATCAACTTTAAATCATTTTACCACAGCCTCTAATCTCACTGTCTGCAATACTTACCATCTATATCTCCCCATGATAAATAAGGAGTGCCTAGGGCATTGTTGATTCAGAAGCAATTAGAACTGTGAAGGAAGCCTTCCATCTGCTTTTCTTCAGACATTAGAAAAAAATTATTGGAAGCCCTTGTATAAAGGCCTGGCAGACATTTTCATGGGATACCAGGAACAAAGCATGCAGAAGCGATAAAGGCACAGTAGAGAAGAGGAAAAGGAGCAGAGTGCTGATAAAGATGATGTTCCTTTCTTCCTAATCTTTCACCAACCACTTCCATGATCTACTGCAAGACTAACACTTTCTGGCCATCCTGGAAGTTAGAGGGAAACCACTTCCTCCACTTGGTGGTGAACAATTCTCATGCCAGTGAGAATAAAAACAGACCCTGAAGAACTGTTAACCTTTGCATGCTGAAAAGAATTCAAAAAAGAAAAGGCAGTATAAAATGGTCAGTATGAATGAAATGAGAAATGCTACATAAGAAAACAAGTTTTTTGTTCCGCTCTCACTGAAATATGTTGAAGGAATCTCCTGATCTTTCTTTATCAAAGAGGGAACAATCAAGTTATACCAGTAAATATTCCACACTTGAGAACCAGGCCTAGAAACTAACTTGGATCTATAACTTCATGAACTGACGTTTATCAATCCACATTGACATAAATCAGAAGTCTGAACGGACTTACATTCTCAGCAGATGGGTCGAGGATGGAAAAAAGGCCTAACAGCTCCATTTGGGAAGGCTACCTGTAATGAAACTGGTACTTTGCAGCCTTTCCAAAAAAGGCCTTCAATTCTATGTCCCCAAAAAAACAAATTTTAAGACTAAGTTCCATTGCACCGCAGTTTCTAAAATGAGAATTTTTTTTTAAATAACCAACCCTGCAACAGCTTGTCTTAAAAGGCAGCCTTCTTTTTCTTCCTTGTGTAAGATGCCCTCAAACTTACAATGCCAAGGATGCACAGAGCAACCAACGGAAACTGTATGTACTGTGCCCAAATTTTCCATTAATTCTGGAGGTGTTCAAATTCACATAGCCCAACACTTTACTGCCTGCTTCAAAGACTGCTCATTCACCACCAGTCAGGTCTGCATTCTCAGGACTGGACTGAAAAAGCTCTCCAAAGTATTTTTTTCAGAAACATTGCACTGACCATGACAATCACCTTCTCACAAAGGTGCACAATATAACAGAAGGTTTAAAAGAAAAAAATAACACAAGTGGTTCTGGCAACAGACCAATAAAAGCTTTTTCCAAGTGACACTCAGTATCTCCATTCAGAATTCTAGGATACAGTGCTATTAAGTCTTTCACTGAGAGATGTTTGCTAAGAAGGGAGACCTGTATGAATCTGAGGAGATAATCTGAAACAGGAACATTGGCAAGAAAGGTAACTGACTGTCTTCAAGAGAGCATATATAGGTATACTTAGATATACTTCACCTTGTTCACACGTCTGCAAAGGCACTAGGCCACTACTGGGATCACAAACTTGAATGTAGACACCTAAACAGATGACAATGTGAGCATTTTAGCTACTGCAGAACTTAAGACGGGAAATTCTTCCAGGAGCAATGAGCTCTGTGCTCCTTCATATCAGCGATTAGCACCTTCATTAAAATCCAGGCAGCAGGGCTTATCACTCCAGCAACCGACCTATTCTCATTCGTGCAATATAGTTCTCCAGACAGTGAAAGCCATGTAGCACTGCAGGTGCACAGGTGAGCACTAACACTAGCCGTGCTGAACACAAGAAGGTCACAGCTACCTCAAACATATTTCTTGTCTTTGATATCAGAAGCACACAGACTACACCAGTATCTGACACTTGGCCAAAGATGAATGCATCATTGTGGCACAGAGTTTGTGGCACCTCCACTGGAACACTGGGAATAGGCCATACTGAGCACAGCATGGTTCTCAAACCACAGTAGAACCGAGGCTGCTGATGCAGGTTATTCTCCCAACACCTCAGCCTTTCTTTGCAATGAAGTGCAAGGTATCATCACAGTAGGTGTGATACACAGTAGATAGGTCTGCCTATCAGTAGGCAGACCAGTTATCCTCAGGGTACTCGGCCCCCTGAGCTGGAAGACAGGGATGGCAAGCAGGATGAACCCCCCATAATCCAAAAGGAAGCAGTCAACGACCTGCTACGTCATCTGGATAC